GTAAAACCTGACTATCAGATTCCTGCATCTGGTTAAGCTTCCTCTTCATGTTTGTAGCATAGTCATGTGCGAGCCGGTGTAACTGTTTATTCTCATGCTTGAGCCCTCTAATCTCCTGTTTGAGACTCATCACTTCAGCCGCCAATGACTCAACTTGGCGGGTTCGAGCAAATAGGCGTTGGGCCATATTAGACACAGAACCTGCACACTGAACACTCAGAGCCAGAGAATCCTTAACAGCCAACTCATCAGACCGTTTGGAAAGTAGTATGTTATCTTTGAGAGTGAGAATGTTCCTGGTCACCACCGCAGCGGTCATATCATTTTTCATCACGGAATCCCCAACGGTAAGAGGACCAGTAGGGGATAAGAAGGATGGGCGCCATATGTTGTCTGGAGAAGGCGTGGCTGCCTCTTCAACAAGGTTCAAGTCAAAATGACGGTCGGAGGGGCCAGACATTTTCAAAGGTGTTGAAGAGAGAAGAGGTCGGACAAATCAAGATCTTACAAGTGCAAGAAGAGAGCTTCTACTGGTGGAGATCCAAGTGTGCTTTGGAACTTAATGCCAGCCTCTATAAAAATCTGCACTCGACAGAGCTTCAGAAATCGAAGAGGCGCCTGCCCAGAAATCGAATAGGCGTTTGCTTTCTCAAAAGCTGGGCTGCTCAGAGACCACGAGGGCCGATCTCAGAAATCAGAAAGGCGTTTGCTTTCTCAAAAGCTGAGCTGCTCAAAGACCACGAAGGCCGATCTCAGAAATCGAAGAGGCGCTTGCTTTCTCAAAAGCTGGGCTGCTCAGAGACCACGAGGGCCGATCTCAGAAATCGAAGAGGCACCTGTTTTTTCAGCCTTGTCAGCACCTGTCACATGCACACTCAGTTTTGCTGAAATTACGGGCATTCTGTTGAAGATTTCTGGTGAAGTAGAAAGCACGTGAATCTTACTGTTCAATCATCCACTTTCCACACGCACCATCAGCTCATGGGTATCACAGATAACTTTGCCAAAGATCTCTGACAAAGTTTAGACACGTGAAGCTTGCAGCTCCCACTACATTGCTATGACCAAGAAGGGTAAAAGAATAGCAAAGAAACAGCACTAACAAAGTTTAAACACATAAATTTTGAAGGTCTAGCTACCATATTATTATCCACAAGGGTAAAAGAACAGCACCACTGCTGGATAATTGGAAAGTCCCTGTGTGTCAACCTCTGTGCTCCGTGGCAAGGTAGACTAGTAAACATACCCAACCTTTACTCACATTCGAGAAAACACTCCCAACAAGATTGCTTGCTCCAAAATCGAAGAGGCACCGCCCTCCGAATCTCGAGAGCCAGACTCCCAACATGATTACTTTCTCAAAAATCGAAGAGACACCGCTATCCAAATCTCGAGAGCCAAACTCCCAGCAAGATTGCTTTCTCAAAAATCGAAGAGGCACCGTTCTTCGAATCTCGAGAGCCAGATCCCCAACAGGATTGCTTGTTCAAAAATCGAAGAGGCACCGCTTTCTCAACTTTCTGAGCCAGATCTCATTGGATAAAGCTTGTCTGTAATTTTCACACGCAACATCAGCTTTCCAGATACCACAGACCACTTTTTCAAAGTACTCTGACACACGTGAAGTTGGCAGCTCCCACTACTGTGCTATGACCAAGCAGGGTAAAGGAATAACATTACTACTTGTTGTTAGGGAGACTCCTATATATGTCGACCTCCATCCTCAACAGACAGGCAGATCTGTAAAAATGCTCAACCCTTCATCATATCTGAGAGGGCACTCCCAACGAAGCCTCTCGAAATACTCAGCTTTCTTCCCCCCCCCCGATAATACCTCTACAAACAAGCTACACCAGAGCAAGAATATCTCATATCATCGGGGTTAAAAGTAAGAGTATCCCATATCATGTTTTTTCCCTGTATTTTCCTTTGGCCTTGTTCTTACTTGCAAGACAAGGAGAAAGATAGCAATCAGTCAGCACTTGGAATCAAGCTTCCAGTCAGGAACTGACTGTCTGGAACCCCTTACCTGATTACTTACCTGGCATTGCTCTCGAGTACTCATCTTCAACATCTTATGCTTTCAGAGAAAATACCACATCTGCCCGAGGAACAGATAGGGAAAGTGAGAAGGATACAAGGAAGCATGTGGAGACAAGCGTAACAGAACACGTGCCAATACATCCATTACTTTGTCAACAACAAAAGTATCCCATATCAGCAGGGTCGAACGTACTCTAGATTTGATGGACTTGTTTTGACCCTCAAATTCTTTAGTCGGCCTTATACTCTGGAGGAAACCAGAAAACCCTCCAGCCCAGTTCAAGAATAAGTCTGTGGAAAGTTACTTCTTCGAAAGAAAAAGTATCTCATATCATCCATTCTCCTTTTCTTCTCTTTATCCTTCATGCTGCCTGCAAGATAGGGAGAATGAGAACAATCAGCCGGAACTCGAAATCAAACTTCTGATCTGGGACTGATTGCTTGGAGCTCTGATTGCTTACCTTGTCTGTCACCTCTTTCAGCAGATCCCCTAGCTCGGCGACTTGGGGGACTCCTACTATAGGGTTTGTATCGCGCTTGACCAAGCTTGAAACTACAAGTAAGCTTCAAGTGAAATTGATACATTACCTTGTGCATATCCACCAGTTAAAGATATCACCCCTGGATGGAGGAAGAGTACTTCCAGAGAAAATGCCACATCTACCTATGAGATAGATAAGGCAAGTGAAGACGATACCACACTTCGGTACTTAGAAGTTTCGTGATTACGAGATCATTCTCCCACAATATTTCCTAATGTTATTTGTACTAAATCATTCACTTGTACTCACTAAAGGAGAGCTTGAACCTATGTAATTGTGTAAACCTTTCACAATTAATGAGAACTCCTCTACTCCGTGGACGTAGCCAATCTGGGTGAACCACGTACATCTTGTGTTTGCTTTCCTGTCTTTATCCATTTACATACTTGTCCACACTAATGACCGGAGCAATCTAGCGAAGATCACAAACGTAATACTTTCTGTTGTACCAAAGTCCTCACTGATTTTGTGCATCAACAATCCTTAAGTCCTTACTTTTTTGCGTTGGTAATGGATGAGTTAACAGAACATATTCAAGATGATATTCCTTGGTGTATGCTTTTCGCAAACGATATAGTGTTGATAGATGAAACTCAGGAGGGGTAAATGCGAAGCTTAACCTTTGGAGAGAAGTGTTGGAATCTAAAGGTCTTCGCCTAAGCCGATCAAAGACATAATATATGGAGTGCAAGTTCAGTGCAAATGGAGGCCAAAATGAGTTAGGGGTGAGGATCGGAGATCAGGAAATACCAAAGAGCGACCGTTTTCACTACCTAAGATCTATCTTGCAAAAGAACGGAGAATTAGATGGAGATCTCAATCATAGAATACAAGCTGGATGGATGAAGTGGAAGAGTGCATCCGGCGTGTTGTGTGACCGTCGTAGGCCACTAAAGCTCAAGGGAAAATTTTATAGGACGGCAATAAGGCCGGCGATGCTGTATGGCACAGAATGTTGGGCGGTGAAGCATCAACACGTACACAAAATGGGTTTGGACATGTGCAAAGAAGGCCTATTGACGCTCCGGTTCGAAGATGTGACTACAGGATAGAGGTTTAGGGTTGAAGGGGTAGAGGAAGATCTAGGAAAATTTTGGAAGAGACCCTAAGAAAAGACTTAGAGTACTTAGATTTAATGGAGAACATGACACAAAACCGAGCACAATGGCGTTCTAGGATTCATATAGCCGACCCCACTTAGTGGGAAAATGCTTTGTTGTTGTTGTTGTATTATACCTATACGTGAGATATGAAACATAATTAGAAGGTAGAAAAAACATAACATACCTATAAGTAAGACACATTAATCTGTGATAGGTTGATTATAAAAAAAAATCTGTCATATAGATAGATAAATATAATTAATCTGTGATATAAGTTGAATATAAAAATTAAAAACAAAATCTATAAATGAGATTTAAAGCAGGAGGAAGAACGAGAAATAACAAAATAAAAAATAAAAAGAAATAAGCAAAAAAGATAATTGGAAAGAAATTTAATTTTTTATAATAAATCTTATCATTGATAACCTATTCATAATTAAATAATTAAATATAACAAATTAGACTTATTTTAATAAACTAAACTATTCCTACTATTGGTTTAAAAAATTGGATTTTTTTTTTTGAACAAACGATATTATCTAAATTAAGGGAGAGAGATGTGGGTTAAGCGGCCTTACAATGGGGGCAGGAGGTGGGCTAAGTCTTACAATAAGTCAACAATAATGTGGTTCAAATTCGTATTTTGTGAGAATCGAATCTAAAACATCTCATTTACAAGTGAAAATGAATACTACAAGATCGTAGTGTTAAGTGAAAAAAAAAAAGAAAAAGGAAATTACTGCATGCACCGTATTCAGTCCTCCAAATCTGATGTCATGTACGAATCGATTGAGTGAACAATATCAAGTTGCAGACTGGCATGCAGTACATAGGTCCCCATGAGAGCGAGAGAGAGAGAGAGAGAGAGAGAGAGAGAGAGAGTTTCCGAGTCCAATTATGATTCAGACACGTTCTAATGGGGGGCTCTCCCTCTGTTCTTTGTCCGAGTGTCGTCAAATAAGGGACTACAGAAAACCTCGGGCACATCACACTTGACCTTTTCTTTTCTGTCTACTCCATTCTTGGTGGTATTATCTTTCAAGTTCTATACTTACCTCAAGCATATAAATTATGTCGCATCAGCACTGTCTGAATCGTTAAAAAATTCACACACACATGTATCATATGAACTTGCCTGAGCCGTTAGATCATCAACAGAACTTTGGCACTCTCTGCATGTAATTCTGCCAATATAACGGCTAAGACAGTGTTCATATATTTGTTATACGTGTTCGTATGGCGGACAATCAACTTTTTGAAATGTCTAACATGTCATTCTTATAAGCAATGTTATCTCCTTTCTCTATGCAAGTAACAATAATGCTTGTTTCTGTCATCACATAAATAAATACTTGGGAGAAAATTATGCATGTAACACAAGTTCTAATTCCTTTCACTAGACTACTACTACCTGCAGGAAAACAAAATCCTCAGTGAGGCTCGCGTTTCTTACACTGTAAATCTACAGAACCTTTCATCGTTACGCAATTGTACAATAACAGAATTCGAGAGAAAATTAAGAAAGCGAGATTCGTCAGCTTCTGGCAATTCTATGAAGTGCTTGCTTGATTGTCCCTGCTGATGCAATACTCGTCCCCTTGAACTGCAAATTAAGAAATTGTTAGTTATTTGCAATAGGCCTCCAGGAACTCGAGTGTTTAACACGATAGTGAATCAGTTCCCTTGAGCCACTGAAACAAAGAAAAAGAAATGATTGATCATATTCATGTAACTAAAATTTCATACCCTGGATTTAATGGTCAGGGAAAGAATTCCATCCGCGGTGGATGATTGAACCGAGTGAGCATCTAAATGAAGCCGGCTTGTGGCATCCATGATCTCTAGCAACACTCCCTCCCTCCAAGGAAACTTCATCTCTATTAGAACATCTTTGTTGTTCATATTAACTGTTATATTATCACTTGAAATGTTCTTCGATACAATGTGATTGATTTCTGGTTCTGTTTCATCAACGTTGCTGACCTTCCTCTTGTAAACTATAGGCTTCTTCCCATTGCTAATTTTGGGGTTGCAACAGTTGTCAGATGTTCTCTCAACTGTATCTTGGAGTTTCCTCTTCATTTTTGAGTATGAATTTGTTGGCTCCCAAAACGATTCCAACTCTTCAACCCTTTTCTCAAGATCTTTCAAATGCTCTATTGCATCATCTAAAATGGATACCTCGTCCTCCTGTGTAAACAAAGTCAAAAAACAAATTACTTCGCAGTTGATGTCAGTCAACAAAAATCTTAAATGGAGATTTACCTACCTTGCTAACCGAGGGAACCATTGATTTCAAAATGCAAAATCTTTCATTCAGTCTTTCCCTCCGCCTCCTCTCATCAGATAATGCATGATTTGTATCAATATCATCAGCCTCTGGTCTACAAACTCCATTTACATTGCTGGTATCTTCTGGGGGCTCAAGCACACAGTCAACATGCATCTGAGGAACTTCAAGCAAAATCTTCTTCAATAATTTTTGCGGGGTTCCACCTCTTTGTGTCAGGCATTTTACAAACCCTCCTCTCTTCCAACTGGTAAAGCTGGATTCCTGATGAGAATTCTTGAAGTGTGGCCCCAAAACCAATTGGTGTGAGCTCTTCAAAAGAGCAGAAAGAACACTTTTATACTGCAAGTCATTGCCTTGAGGATCCAAAGAGGTCTTTTTAGTGCTATTGCACTCTTTATGTTCATGCGGGCAGTGATCATTTGCCTGTTCAGTCTTAGGACCAGAGAGAACCTTTTCCGGATACACCAAAGTCTGAGATATACAATCACTGGAATCCATGGAATGGTGCACAAAATTACTTAACTCATCGTCCATAAATTGCCAGCTTTGCACTTGGGAAGCTCCTCCGTTCATCCCTTCCACCATGAATGAATCATCAGCCGGTTGATTAGGACCCAAACCATTTGAATTGTCATCAGGTGAAGTCACATCCATTTCTTGACACTCTACAACAGGAATTAATTTGGTGTTGACTATACCATCATCAAGCATGGCACAAGCAAGATCATTGTCGTTTCTTGTGCTTCCTGCACTAGGATTGGTTCTCTTGGAAGCGATTATGGGATATGGAGCCTCCATGAAAGATGTTTTAACATGCTGAATGAGACTAGGGTCCTCTAGAACCTACAAAAAGAATGCAAAAAGTACACAGTAGATCATAATTTGGAAAAAAAATATGTAATTCTAATTAGATATTCTAAAGCAAATAATACCTACCAGTTCAGTCACACCGAGCTCGATCACTCCTCCCAAAAATGGAAAGCATACAACAGTCTGGATAGAAAACAAAAAAAAAACATGCTTAGATTAAGAAATAATCTTTGTGCATTGATTCAGCCCAATATAAATCTGCAGAAAACTTGATTGACAATTCAGAATCTGCTGTCTGAAACTGTGATAACATATACCAGAAAATTATTGTTATGCTTGTATCCGTACCTGAATGGATGCGCTCTGAGGGTGACAGGTACAAATCCAGGCATCAAAAGAAAACCAAACAGAAAACAGATGTTTTAGTTCTTCACTCTGAGCAAACTAGTCAAGTAACACGAATCAGAAATCAATCATGATACTTATATGAACAAAGAAACAGCACGCTACCTTTGCTAGTAGTGAACGAGAAAACACTTTACTATCCACGTAGTGAGCATTGCATAGCCAGGTAGGTTTGCCATTTGCTAATGTTCTTCCTGGCAACCTGAAAAGTTCGGGAAGAGCAATGTAAGTTATATGAACCATGAAGACATGAATGTAGAACAAATTATAGTCTGTCTTTTACAAAATACAGTGCATCTTGTCTAACCAAATCGAAATCTCTTTTCAAGCTTTAACTTCTACAGTTCACAATTGACGCTATGGCTGGTCAATGCATATAATATCAGAAAGGCCCTGAGATTCTATTTGAGTACAGAAGAATTGTGAAGAATGAAGTTACCCTTGGCCAATGTTGAAGACGAACGACATACAAACTAGGTAATACCACTCAGTATCAGCCAGATCTTCGGGTGATAATGATGCAGAAGGCCTTCTAGCCTGCGGACTTGCTTCGCCCGCTGAGAGGGAATCATAAAGTTCTCTCAGTTGCTCACTCCTTTGCAAACCCATTTGGTCAGCATCAAGCTCTACGGCTTGAACTGTTTTTCTGGTCTTTATATCTCCATTGTAGTACCCATCGCCCCACTCTAACACCCTACAAAGTTAAACATTACAATTCGTAATGCAGATAAGATAAGGACAATGCAATAAGATTTTAAGAGATTTATATATCAGGGAGTGAAGGGATTAGCCTTAATCTGAAGGATTTAGTCTTAATGTGAAGGGTTTAGTCCAATTATTTAACAAAAATCAATTTCATTTGAGGAAGTTCAAATCCTGCCGATAATGCAGAAGCACAGGAGTTATTTGAACTGTGAAAAACAAAACCAAGAGAACAAAAAGATAGGGAAAAGTTGCAGAAATTAGACATTCAAAACACAAACACATCCAACAACAACAAACAACAAAGATTTCTGGGAAACATTGTACACAAATTTGGACCTTTTTTTTTTCTGGAGGCCAAAATACATATATAGTTAAAGTTCAACTAACCCAAGTTGAAAAATATGATGAAAAGTCAGTACCCTGGTTGTCTGGCTGAAATGGACCAGAAAATTCCATAGCTCCACTGGATACTTCTCACAGAAAGAGCAAGCTGTTTTCTCAGGTTCTCAGACACCGCCATATGCAAAGCTTAAAACTTTGACTTTGGAAATTGAAATAAACCCCACTCAAACACCACCAGATGCAGATAAAATCTCCCTTTGATTATTCACTTCCAAGCAGCAGAACCCAAATATATTGGTTTCTGCTCTTTTGTCAAAAGACTCAGAAGAGCTGGCGTTTTAGCTCAAATTCTTGATGGTATTTCTCATACACTAAGAACCGATATCGGGTTTGACTCTCAGAGGCAGCAGCATGATCTTACTGAAGCAGAAACAGCCCCCAAGATTGGAAATTTCAGAGAAGATTTGGTTCTAAAATGGTACTCCAGAGAGGAAGGTGGAGCAGCTAATGCTTATTATTATTATCAAAAATACAAAAAAAAAAAAAAACCTGGTTAATAGAAAGTAATAAGGACCATCACTTGGACCAGTATTAGATGAGTTTCCCTTTTTGTACAGAATCACAACACTCACTTTCAAGAAAAAAAAACACTAAAAATAAAAAAAAAGCAAACAATATCTTATGAAAATCAAAGAATTTGATTTGCTTAATTTTTTTTATTTTTTGCTGTAAAAGGAGGTACAAGCTATCTGGTAACGGAGGCAGGAGGTGGGGGCGGCAGCAGCAGAAGCAACAGCAACACTGGAGCTTTTAACACCAACATAAAATTAATAGGTTAATAAAACCCACCAATTAATGATCTGGGATTTTCTGATCACCCCCCAAAACTGAAACATTTTGGCCCTACAAACACAAAACAAAGAACCAAAATGCCAACTTTCCCAATCTGGGTTCTTTTTTTTTTTTTTTTTGAAACAATCTGGGTTCTTTTTTGTCACCACAGAAAGCTCAAAACCAGCTCAAAATCCAAGATTGTGAAGATTGGGAAAACGGGTAGGAAATGATTGTCCCAGTTTCACCTGCATTACTTACTCTCATGGATTTTTACCCTCAAAACCCAAAAGAGAGATGTACAGATTGATGATGGAGTGGCAAGAGAGAGATTCTGTTGGAATTTTATTTGACCCAAAGTACATGGAGATGCAGAGAGAAAGAGAGAGGACTCGTGGTGCAGCAAAATGAACAGGTGCAAACAGTCGCTGCTAGCAGCCGTCGGATAAATTTTTCAATGTAATCGCAAGAGAGATTCTGTTAGAATTTTATTTGACCCAAAGTACATGGAGATGCAGAGAGAGAGAGAGAGAGAGAGAGAGAGAGAGAGGAGTCGTGGTGCAGCAAAATGAACAGGTGCAAACCAGTCGCTGCTAGCAGCCGTCGGATAAATTTTTCAATGTAATCGAAATATAAATAAGACATCACGTATTTTTATATAAATGGTAAGAAATTTTATTTTTTAAATTATTAATTTTTTAACACATAAATCTCATCATTTGTATAGTGACACATGATGTACCATTTCGTATACTGGTCATATTGAAAAATCTCTCCGGACATCGTATGTGCTTAATGGTGGGATTTGGCGAAGAATTATCATTATTCTAAAAATCCCCACATAGCGCCGTTTAAGCGGAAGCGGCTGGTCACCGTCTCAATTAGTGCTTAGGCGTTTGAAAATTAAGAAAGGGCGCTTAGACCTACTGAGGTGCCCGTTTATACCACCTAGGTGTCTAGCCCGTCAAGACCCATCTAGATTGTGACTCACTTAGATAAGAAAATAAATAACTTTCATTTTGCATTTTATTTTTTCAATAAATTGTAAGAGACTTGCTTAATACTTAAATGAATACACATTATATGCTTGTTCCCACGTTTTTATTATGTTTCAATAGCTCATAATAGATATGTCATTCTATTTTGTAGTTTATGATGAAATCATATATATTTTAAGCATAGACAAACACTTATTTACAAAAAATAAAATAGATTTAATTAAATCCGCCTAGGCACTAGACCCTAACTTGCCTCTCGACTAGGGTCTAGCGTCTTTAGAACCTTGGGAATTATAAACAAAAATAATTGTCTCCTTTGCCTAGGTTTTTTGTTTTTTTGTTTTTTGAGGTATTTGTCGATTTCCTCCTTAAACTTGTAAGTCGCTATCAATTTCTCCCAGAACTTTAATTTTAACCAATTACCCTTCTAAACTATTATAATTGGCCGAAATCCCTCATACTGTTAAATTTTCTAATTTTTCGTCAAATATTATATCCATCTCTGTCAACGCAAAAAATTCTACGGGTATAAAAGTAATTTGGCCACTCAGCAAAGCCAAACTGACCGAGAGAAAGTATCAGGGTCGACGATTTGGCAAAAGAGGTCTAACTATTGAACGCAAAGTCTCTGGAAGTGGGGGTTGGGAAGCACGATCTTCTGGTCTTTCTTGAACCTCTGCAAGAAGTCAACGGGGGAGGTGGAAGCTAGTAGGCAATGACGGACGTCAAGGGACCATGGAATTGGAATTGGGGTCGCCATCAAAGATGGAGTGATGTGACGTAGCGGGCAGTGGGGAAGAGGGTTTTTTAGAGTTTTGGAAGGATGAGGATGTGAAGGCGTTAGTGGTGACGAGGTCATGGGGTCGGTGAGTGGAAGTGGCGTTGGGTTTGAGGGATGCGGGAGTTTGTGGGAAATATGGGGAAAGAGGTGGGTAAAAGTGGAAATTGATGGGTGTTGGTGGGGTGGTGGGCAGGTTGGGATTGGGGTGTTAATTGGTGGAAGTAAATTTTTGGAGGTGGTTTTGGGAGAAAGATTAAGGTTTAGAGACGTGGGTTGGAAAGAATTGGAAATGGGATTTAACTATCGAATTTGGTGGGGAATTTTGCAGGAGTGGCATTTCTGATTGCTCTGTGTGTAATATGTTGTGAACTTTGGAGAGAGAAAAGCATAGAAAATGAAAAAGGGCTCGTAAGATATTCAGAGGAGGAGGAGGAGGTTGTGGTGAGTTGAGTTGAGTGAGTCAGCCTGCCTATAAAAAGACCTTTTTGTTCAAGATGGACGGAAGATTAGATGAAAAATTAGGAAATCTAACGGCGTGGGGGAATTTGGCTAATTATAAGAATTCAGGGGGGTAATCGGTTATAGGAGCGTGCTGATAACGTGTTGTGACCTATATTTAACTGACAGAGAGAGGGGACCAGTGGCACAGAGAGAAAATATAGAGAGACATGTGTTTGTAGGGTTGTGTAGAGGATGTTATTCCACTACGCATTGCCTTTATTAAGGAGAGAAGAAATCCTTCTCCTTCAAGAAATACAAGTCCTAATAGGGTAGAATAACTAGAATCAAAATGATAATTTCAAGTGCTTTTCAATTTAATATTATCGTGTGCATGTTTATCTTCATGTATATTTATTTGCACAAGAGAAACCCTAGCACAATCCTTTTATATATTGGAGTTTGTTTTGATCTTTTTGGGTGGCTTCCGTATCACACAGATATGCAGTGATAGTGGACATTTTTTTTAAGAGTGTACTGCATGCGAAAGGTTTATAAAAGTTATCATGTTGGGGCTTTTAACCCAATTGAAGGGAAAAAAGTGTTCCGCACCAATTAACTAATAGTACTATCCTCCAATAATAATTCATAAATTACATTAGGAGGCTCTTCGAACTAAGAGACTGGATGATCAATAGTTACACTAAACCTTGTAAGGCGGTGAGCCACCTTATTCGTCTCTCGTAGACCAAATGTAATTTTCCATTGTCTTAGCTCTTGTCGAAGCTTTCTTGTATCTTCAAACAGATGCTCATAATGACCACTATATGTAGCACCTACATTCTGGATTGCTGAAGTCACTAACAACGCATCCCCTTCCACTTAGACCTGCTCCGTGCGACACTTGCACAAGAACAAGGTTGCTGCTCGTGCAGCAGCAGCCTTAGCATGAAGTGCAGATTGCACTCTTTAATCCTTGCCCATATGTGTCGCTAGAAAACCTCAATCCGTTTCTCTAACTACCAATCCAAAACCTCTAATTGACCAATTTTCATCCTATGCAGCATCAAAATTGCACATTATCCACCCAAAAGCCGAAGTTTGCCAATGAAGTATTCGTATCGACGAGTGTTGGGGTATAGTATCATTCCACTTTCTATATTCGGTCAGTCATGTTTGTGCTTTGATTTGGGTATCCAATGGAGAAACATCAACACCAATCCAAAGAAAGTTATTACATACCTTCCAAATACTCCAAACTAGAATAAGGAGCAATTCAAAGCTTTCTTTATAAACTTCCTGCGCCATATGCTCCAGCCACCCACCAAATCCGTTCTCCCTGCCAGTAAAATACCGAAGTCCCAATAGACTTCCAAACCACACAACTGCCGCTCTAGGACATTTTAACAAGGCATGTTTACCGTGTCCTCTTCTTGGTCACAAAATCCGCAAGTAGCTTCGTAAGTACTCGTCTTTACTTCAGATTTACTTTGGAAGGCAATGCATTCATAACTCCATGCCAAACACAAATTTTCACTTTCCCCGAAACTTTTGCACACCATAGTGCTTTCCAAAGAAACTTTGTTTTCTCACTAACCATCAATCCCATGGGCTCATCACCACCCATCCCTTGGCACGATCGTGCCACAAAATACGTACTCTTAGTGGTGAATAATCCCTTTGGTTCTTTTGCCCAAATCAACGAATCAGCACGATGGAATATGCTTAAAATCAAATCCGCTTCCTCTTCCAAAAACCAATGACACACTAAATTCGAGTTCCATCGGACTCCATCATCCTTCACCATTAGAGATCTCACCGTAACAAATGGGTGTACCTCCGACTCTAGGGGGTTGAGAATGTGATAAAAGTGATCCCGTGGTAGCCAACTATCTCCCCATATGCAGATTTGTAGACCATCCCCCACTCTCCATCTCGCACCTTAAAAAATAATTAACCATGATGTCGCCAAATTGCACCAGCAATAGGAGGAATTGGGATTAATAGGCGCCTACAGGAACTTAATGGTAGGATAATACCGAGCTTTGAAAATTTGTCCAATAAGGGAATTAGGTTGCGGTAGAAGGCACTACGCTTGCTTCGCAAGCAAAGTAAGATTGAACGCCTACAAATCCTTAAATCCCAATCCACCCTCACCTTTGGGGTTTACACAATCACTGCCATTTCACCCAATGTATTTTGTGCTTAACTGCTTCTCTTCCCCACCAAAACTTTGCCACCATTTGATTTAGTTCATCACATAAAGACTTTGGGAGCAAGAAAGTTTGATGTATACAACGGTATTGCCTATGGCACCGTCTTTATTAAAATTTCCTTACCTGTACTACTAAGCAATGATCCACGCCAACCATTCAATTTTTTCCACAACCGATCTTTAATAAAAGCAAAAATATCTTTCTTGGACCTACCGATAAACACTGGAAAACCAAGATAACGATCATGGTACTCCATACTCTTCATCCCTAGACAATCGGCTAATAACTGGGCATCCATCTCTATGAGATTCCGACTAAACACAACACTACTTTTGGACAGGTTGACTGCTTGCCCTGAAGCCCATTCATAAGTACATAATAATTCCTTCAACTGCAAATACTCATGAATAGACATCCTGGCAAATATAAAACTGTCATCTGCAAATAGTAAATGATGAACACTTGGTGCCCCTTTACAAACTTGGAACCCCTGAATTCAGCCTTGTGCTTCCCATGAATCAAACAACGCTGATAAGCCTTCCACACATAGAACACATAAGAACGGTGACAATGGATCACCTTGATGAATCCCCCGCTTCGGGTATACTAGCCCCACAGGCTCCTTATTCAGTTTGAACAAATAAGACAACGCGAAACACACATCATTATCCACTGTATCCATTCATCCGTAAAACCCAATTTCTTCATCATTTGTTCCAAGAAACTCCATTCGATTTCATCATAGGCCTTACTGATATCCAATTTCAATGCCATTACCCTGTTCCACCCATTATTCTTCTTATGCATATAGTGTGCAACTTCCGAAGCTACCATACAGTTATCGGATATTAACCTTCTCAGTATAAATGCACTTTACGAGGGTGAAATAATGTCTGGGATAATAACTTTCAACCTATTAGTAAGAAGCTTAGAGCAAATCTTATAAATCACGTTACAAAGACTAATCGACCGAAGTTGAGTTATTTTAGTAGGATCAATTTTCTTTGGAATCAAAGTGACATGGTGTAATTAATCTTTCTAAGCATATGACCCGATGAAAGAACATGTCTTACCCCATCACACACATCTTGGCCGACAATCTCCCAATGCTTCTGATAGAAATCCAGTGACATACCGTCAGGTCCCAGAGCTTTAGT